TTCCCATTGGCTCTCAAAGGGGAGGGCATATTTCTGACAGTATGACACAAAGGTGACTGCCAGCCTTGCCCTCCCTCAGTGCAGGAAGAAGAGAGGCATTTGCAGAGTGGATAAGACCCTCACAGTGGAGAGCTGGGCCTGCGGGTGCTTGTATGCTCATGCTTACTTGCTGTTTCCACTCTTCCAACAGAGGCACACTGAACACCCACTATGAGCGAGGCTTGGTTTTGGCCTGGGAAGAAGGCGATAAGTAAACCCCTAATCCCTGCCTGAGTGTCACCTGAGCTCAGCGGGGCAAATGGACAACAAAGGAACTAAGTCTGTTTGCTAGGGTTTATTTAGCAGCTAGTAAGAGCCAGAGCAATTATAGGAAGTAAGCAAATCATGCATTCCCAATTTGTTTATTCTTAGAATATAACCCAAACTTATCTTGCTTCTCTGGGCCGTCATCAGGAAATGGCAATGGCTAGGAGGGAAAGATACTTTCACATGTGAAAGCTGAAAAAACAGCTTTGATTGGAAGATAGATAAATATCCATGTTTTTTCCTCTCTTTTTCTCAACTCTGTTGCCAGCTCAGTCTGGTTTGGGACTGAGATGGACCAGGTTGCTTTTATACTATCTGAATTTGGGAAGATGTCATGTTAGTTACAAACGCTTGTGGTTGAATTCCTCTTTAGTGTTGGATAAACATTATGCTCAGTTGATACTTACGAGTTGGCTATAGAACGTCTCCATCCTTACCTTAAGGTGGGCCATCTTTTAGTGAAGCACCAGGAACACAAGGTTCTATATTTGTGCATGTTCTTTGCCTGTGTCCACACAGCTGGTTTTACCCTGAAGAGTGAACATTGCAGACAAACTTACATTTCCTGCTTGGTCACTCAATAACAAAAATAACAAATGTTACATTGCTCTTTGCCCTTGAAGGACATAACTTGAACTCATTTTAGTGAGATCATTTCTCAGAAAGCCAGTGGTCATTGTCCTTGGAGAGGCCCTGCAGGCTGGAAGGAAGTCAGTGTTTCCTACAGGGCAGCCCAAAGCACTGGTTACTGATCCCGTTTCATTTGTGGAAGTCTTGGAGAATTCATGGATATCCAGCAATGTACTTTTGAGTAACCTGACATCACAGGCACACTTGAACAAAATTCTTTTTCAATAATTTCAAGACCTAGCTTTGCTGGTCACATTCCCCAGAGGTATAAGTCTGGAGGAGAGTGCTTATGAAAAGCAAAAGTTTAAAATGAAAAATCCAAGCTTAAAAAATAATAGGTTAGCTAGAAAGAAATGGAGATGGAATTAATTTGGGACAGATAGGAAGTCTGGGATATCTGCTTTTTAAAAATAATTCCCTGACAGTAATCTAGGAAAGTCTGACTAAAGAGCAGCTAGTCTATGTCTTGGGGGATGGGGAGTGTGGTTAGTGACCTCATGTGGAATTTGAGCCACCTGTATCAGGTGTAAAACTATTAATAGTTTCCATTATTAAATATAAGATTTGTGGTCATAGGTCTGGGTGCTTCTGTTTTGCTCTGGGTAGGCACCATGCGAATGTGGGGCCATTTGGTGATCTGGAAGTGTCCATATGTGAGGGGGGTCATGAGGGCTGGGTGAGAGAACTTGGGAGCAGGGTGAAGGTGTGCAGGAATTTGAAAGGCTTTCATTGAATGATTTGGATAAATCCAATGAGTTGGATTTATTCTGGGCTTTTTTGGGCTTTATTCTGGATTTATTAAAGGGGTAAGCTAGGAACAATGGGTGGGACTTGAACAACTCTAAGTCTTGGTTCAACTTTAGAAGATTATTTTTCTACTAAAGGGACAAAGAAAGGTTGGTGGTGACTTTCAGCAGTTGGATATTTAAGCAGAGGCTGAACCACTGTGTGGAAATGTGGCGGTGAGATTTCAGAACCCCAGGAGGCTGCCCCATCTGACTTTAGGGATCCTTTCTACTTTGAGATTTATGCCTTTGGCAGAGTGGATAGGATGGGGGGTGGGGGTGAACTCCAAAATTTACCTGGATCCAAGTTTTTGTCAGAAATCTCTCCTGTGGATGCAGCAGCCAGGATGTGCGACCCACCAAATCCAGGTCCAACTCCACGGCACATGCCGAGACCCTTGCTCCTTCAGGGAACTCATGACTGCCTCAGCTTAGTCTCCAGGTCTTCCCTAAGGACAGAAAAGTGATTTCTGCCACTGTGGGGAAAAATGTACTCATCCCTTATCCCTTTGTTGCTTTGTTCCTCCCTCCACAGCCAACTTTTCCAGAAAGCTCTTCCTGCCACTCTCTGATGTACCACCAAACTGGGGTGGTAGGCCTTTCACACTCTTACACATACCCTCACCTCCCCAGCTGGAGTTGTGCTCCTAGAGGACACTTGTCCTCTCATTTCCTTTGTTTAATATACCCTTCCCCCTCCTCCACCACCAAACAGACAAACATTCATCCCTACGGTTCCTAGAACAGAATTTTAATATCTTGGGAATTCATGATCGTAAATGAGCCAATTTTAGTCATTTTAGAATGTAATCTCATTTTTGTTTGTTTGTTCTTTATAAAGAAAGTGAGTTTAAACACAAAGATTTCTGGGAGTTTCCTTCTGATGGGACAGATAATACCTGCTGACAGTTCAGCAGTGTCTCAGGTAGGGGAGCTTCTTGTTAATACTTGCACTGGTTACACAAGGTATATGGCGCTTGCTGGTCCTCAGATGATCATATGACAGCTGAGAACGGTCAGCTGCCACATCTATGCAGCTGCCATGGAAAGCTAATGCAGGCCTCTCTGAACCGTTCACTTCCTTTCCTTAGCTTTGAATTGCTGCCTCTCGCTGTAGAATAAGCACTGAGTTTCATGACCATTGATCCGTGTGCACACATTCGAGCCTCCATCTCCCGGAGCACTTAAACCCTGAGAGCTATGAAACAGGCCTTGAGTTACGCTTCTGAGTTACTGACCCTGGCCACCTCTTCAGTACTGTCATGGGCCATCCCAGTCTCTTCCTTGGGCTCTGGAATCTCTGGAGTTTGATATTGGGGATCATAAGGAGGGATGGTCTTCTTTTCATCATAAACTTAGGCAAGGGTGGATGGGAGCAACAGAATGGAGCTTTTTTTTAATATTTTATGTAATTCTTACATAATTTTTCATGTTTGCAAAATGTATACATTTTCATTTTGGTTATATTTTCCATACAATTGCACCTCCCCTTATTTTGACCCTAATCCTTCCTCTCCCCGCTCCCTCTGCCCCCCGTAGTGTGTCTCTGGTTTATAGTTGCTTGTTGATTTTGATTTTTACTTTATTATAATCAGTCTTTTTCCTGGCCCCTTATTTAGGTTTTCTAAATTCCTGCTTTGAGTGAGACAATCTGGTATTTTTCTTTTTCTTTCTGGCTTATTTCGCTGAACATGATCCCTTCCAGCTCCATCCATGTTGCTGCAAATTGCATGAGTTTATCTTTTTTGATTGCTGAGTAATATTCCATTGTGTATATATACCACATCTTCTTGATCCAAAAGGGCACCTGCACCACTATGTTTATAGCAGCACTATTTACAATAGCTAAACTATGGAAACAACCCAAATGCCCAAAAATAGATGACTGGATCAAGAATGGAGCTTTTGTCTTCCTTCTGAAAGCTTTAAGGAGAAAACATGAAACCCTGCAGAAGGGGTGCACCGGGGTCAGCCTGGGCTGGCATTGCCGGCCGGGCCCAAGTGCAGGCTAGATTTGTGATGTAGTTCTTATCTGGTCTCCTTGCAGGATGGCTTTGGGAAGAGACAAAGTTCCCTACCTAATATGGGGCCTGTTCATTTTCATTCCAGTGCATTTCCCCTGGCAGCCTCTTGTTGAGCTTCTCCTTCTCTGGAGCCCTCTCCTTGACAACCCTTAACACAGAGTGCAGCTATGCCAAAACCCTTGTAAGGGTCCTTGCTGAGTTTGAAGGAAGGTCTGATCTCTACCCTGCCTCTGGCCTGTGGAGACCAGAGAGTGACACCCCTCCCTGGCTTGCTGGAACAATGCGGAGAGCTCTCACCTACCCCAATAAGAGAGGGGGCTTTGGAGTCCCCTTAATCTGTCCATCTGTGTTCTTTTAATAAATTAAAATCAAACCATGTACAGCAAAAATGAGACTGATTGTTTATTTGCAAAGTCCATGTTCGCATTGACTATAGATACTGAAAAAAACTTTAGAGGCAGCGTCCTGCTCCTTCTGAACTCCATGCGCTTTTCTGTACCCTTCTCATGTAGATAAGTGGTAGGCCCTGCCATGCATTCCTTTTTGCCAGAGATGAATCTAACTGGGCAGGGTTGGATCATGTGGCAATCCCTAAGCTAATCAGCTCGCTCAGGGAGGTGTGGTACTCTGATTATTGGACCGAACCCCACAATGAACTAGGACTTGAGGAAGGAGTCCTGTGTGCCAAACCACTGCAGAAGCCCAGCACATCTCCCCTGGACCCATATATGCCTAGCTCAGAGAAAGCCAGGATCTGCAGCCCCTGCCTTGTTGTCTGCCAACCCCTGTCTTGGGGCTACAGGGAGGAAGGCCGTCCTCTGGTCTGCTTTCCCTGAAGACCTGCTGTGGCTTTGCAGAGTTGGCATATGTTGCATGAGCAGAGCCCTGGCTGGCCAGAGCCTGGTGCTCTGTCTTGTGTTCATTCAAAATATAAGGGCCTTAGTTTTTCCCACCAGTGTCTTACTTAGGAGATCTTTTCAAAAGTGCTTGTTTTCAGAAGTGTCAGGGCTATGGCCATCTGGGCTTTGTGGGCAGTCCTTATACCTCAGCGGTGAGGCCGTGAATCTGTCAATACCAGTCTGCAAAGTAAAAAACACTGTCTTCTGGAAAAGAACTTGCCATGCAATAAGCATTCCTATGGCTGCTGTCTTCCAGGCACTGTCTGGATGTGCAGTACTTACAGTTTGCAGAATAATTGAATCCTAAATCACTCTGCATTTTGACCCTCAACTGGCCTTCTCTTCCTTGTACACAGGGAACTGCTGGAGACCACGTGCCGCCTGGCCAACACCCTGAAGAGGCATGGCGTCTGTCGAGGGGACCGTGTGGCCATCTACATGCCGGTGTCCCCTCTGGCTGTGGCTGCGATGCTGGCCTGCGCCAGGATCGGAGCTGTCCACAATGTCGTTTTTGCTGGCTTCAGTGCAGAGTCCTTAGCTGGGAGGATCAATGATGGTGAGCACATGGGCAGTGCGAGGGAGGCCATGTAGTCTTTATTTCTCAAGGTCAAGCAATTAGGGACATAAAATGGAGACAGCCATTAATATAGGTCACAGGAAAATGACACACACTACCAGGACAGGCACATAATTGAATGAGCATTTGTTTTGTGAGCTGAGATCTGAGTATGTGGGGTTTCAACAGGTAAAGAAAGGAGGGAAGAATTCAGTGGGGCTAACAGATGAGTGGTGGAGGAGCACAGTGCCTACAAGGGGCTGGGTCTGGAGGTAACTGGAGTGACTGTAGTGGAGGAAGGAAGAGACATTCAAACAAGATGTTGTTGGAGAAACACCTGGAGGCCGTCTGTCGTGAAGAATGGTGGGTGTTCTCTCAGGAGGCCTGGCATCAGGTACGGGGGTTGAGGTTGTCTTTAAGCTTTCTGTCTGCAGGTTAGTCTCCTAGATAGTGTACAGAACAGTAGTGCCTCCTTGCTTTGTTTGGTGTTGGAGGGTCGAGTGTTTGAATGGTGCCTCATACCCATATATGCTATTCCCTGCACCAGAGAGTCCCCTGAGCTGGCTTCTCAAGAGGGTGCTAAGTTCTGGGGGCCATCAGCTGTTCTTTGTATCTCACAGAGGACTTGCCATTGGGCAGTGAACAAAGCCAGAGGACTGAGTTCTCAGACCCTTGTTGACCACCTGTTTTTTAGAATAGTCTGGGAAGCCTTTCCAGTTCCTTTTAAGGTTTCTCCCGCTACTCTTAAGGATTGGTGCTTTTTCTGCTTCAGTGGAGATGTGGTTTTTGCCCTGTATTCTATTAATGTGGTGTAGTACACTGATTTTCATATGTCAAAGTATTCTTGTATTCCAGGAATAAATCCCACTTAGTCATGGTGCATACTGCTGTTAACATGCTGCTGGATATAGTTTGTTAATATTCTTTTGGGGGGATTTTTACTTCAGTGTTCATAAGGGATATTGGTCTATAGTTTTCTTGGTATATGTTTGTCTGGCTTTGGTATCAGGGTAATGCTGGTTACATAGAATGAGTTAGAAAGTATCTTTTTCTGAAATTTTTTGCAGTTATTTTTGAGAAGTGCTTGAGAAAGATTGATATTTGTCTTTAAATGTCTTTAAGGATAAAAATATATTTTATATTTGTCTTTAAATTTAGAATTCACTACTGAAGCCATCTGGTCTTAGACTTTCCTTCACTGAGATGTTCCCTTTTTATAGAGAAGGAAAGTGAGGCAGAGAGGTTAAGTGGCTTACTCAAGGTCATGCTTTCTATTGGTGACAGACCCTGGATTTGAACACAGGCATTCTGCAACTATTTTAGCATTTCACAAGGATACCCTTTCCTTTCACTGATGTGACCACAGTTACCAAGTGTTTCTATGACAATGCTTTGAAGCAAGCAATAGTAGCTGAGTCTGGAAATTTAGTATATAGGGACTTAGCAGCTGGATGCTGGGGCAGCTTCCAGGACCTCAGAAATTCTAAATCAGACCATGGGAGACCAGGTGAGATTGGAGGGCCTCCATAGGGAGTGTTCCTGTAATTTTTCTCTAGGAAAGGGTTGTGTTTGGGCCTTGCCAGTCAGTGCTATTTGTCAGTCAGTGGGTATTTGTTCCAGATTCGTCCTTAGGGAACTACATAATAATTTACTGCAGACTTGATCCCTCTGGGCACAATTTGGAGGGTCATTCCTTCACCTGTGGTCCTGATGCCCAGTTTGTGTCTTTACCTGATTATCTGCTGTGGGTCTTGCCCTAAGTTAGCTATGGAAGCTCAGGTGTCCCCAGCATTGCCCCAGGCCTGGCCGAGCCTGGCTGAGCCTGACTGGTCTTGGAAGAGCAGGTGTGGAGACTGAAAGGTCTTCCCCTAAAGGTGAGGGTGAGAGAAGCAGTTCCTAGCATCCACCTGAGGGTGGAGTCTTGTTCTTTGTGCAGTGAAGGTTCTTGGTCCACATGAGTTTCCTGGAACAGGGCAGGAAACATGCAGGACACATTGGGGCTTGGCCTGTAGCTGTCCAGCTTTCTTGATCTCTGCCTTTTGTTGTTGCTTTGCTACCACAGTGGCTGTGGTTGGGGCAGTGCAATGGCCCCTGGCCTTGGAAAGACCCAGCTGCAGGTGGGAGGGAATGACAATGTCTATAAGGATTGAGCTTCAAAGTAACTTCTCTCCAGTTCCTTCCTGCTCCTCAGAGCAGGGGAAAGGCATGGCGCTTCTGTAGTCAGCACAAAGATTGCAAAGCAGGTGATTCTTCCTTTTGTTTGTGATTCTTTTACTCAATGTTGGTCTTTATCGCACTCAGACCTGGGATGTATGGGTGTCATTTTGGGCCTTGAGGGGCAGAGTGGGGAGGAGACCCATCAGACATGTTTGTGTTGTCTCCACTAGCCAAGTGCAAGGTGGTTCTCACCTTCAACCAAGGACTCCGGGGAGGGCGTGTGGTGGAGCTGAAGAAGATAGTGGACGAGGCCGTGAAGCAGTGCCCCACCGTGCGGCATGTTCTGGTGGCTCACAGGACGGAAAACAAGGTCCCCATGGGGAATCTGGATGTCCCCCTTGAGGAGGTGGGTTTATCTCACTTGGTGCAGTTGGTGGAGGAGAGGTGACTATTGGGTTAATTGGGTCTGAGTTGTATGTAGCAGCTGCGGGTCTCCCGCTGGGCCTGCAGAGGTACCCAAGGTCTTGTTGTGTTATTTTATGGGCTTAACATTATATCTGGGAGGATGGAACTCAAATACCACAAACACACTGAACTCTAATGTAATAGAGATGATTGGATTCACTCTAATTTTGTGGTATGTCTGCATCTGGAATGGAATTAGGGCAGGCTGGAGAAGGTCAGCCCTGAATCTTGTCTGCCAAGTCCTGCAGCAGCTGGGGTGGGGCCAGGGGTGCTAGGGTGTTCTCAGGGAGGCTGCACAGAGGGGAGTTGTTGAGTGCCCTGGGTGGACTGTTTGTTTATTCCTCCTTACAGGAAATGGCCAAGGAGGACCCTGTATGCGCCCCAGAGAGCATGGGCAGCGAGGACATGCTCTTCATGCTGTACACCTCGGGGAGCACCGGGAAGCCCAAGGGGCTCGTCCATACCCAGGCTGGCTACCTGCTGTATGCCGCACTGACGCACAGGGTACAGGCCTCTGTGGGGGTGGAAGGGAGGTGCCTGCTTGCAGGGCTCCGGGTGAGGGCTGGGAGGAGTTAGATTTATGACTGAAACTCCTGCTATAAAATAGTGGAAGTGGGTATGAGGGTCGCATGTTTTCCCAAGGGTGTTCACGAGCAGGGGTGCTGTGAACCACAGCACTAGGGCAGTGAAGCTCCAGTTCTTGTTGGAAGAGTCTGGGCCCCACACCTGAGTCTCCCTGCTGGCCTGTAGCCTTTCATGTCCAGTGTGGTCTGTTTGCTCTAAGGCTGATGGGAGTAGAGCCCTCATCTGACATGCTCCTGGCAGAGCTGCATTTTGATGCTCATGGATCCTTACTCATAAAAATCAGTTTCCTTTTACAATCGCATCAATACAAAGATGGATACATTAGTATTGTGTATTAAAATGTTTTCTTCCCCTTAAAAGATCCTAGTTTTCTTTTGATTTCATAATAAAATATTTTCATGAACCCCTAAAAGTATCGTGGCCTCTTGGCCTCGATCACCTTGGGCACATTTTAAAAGTAAAATTACAAAAAGATGTATTTTTTATAAGGAAACCTTAATTTAGTACACAGAAATTGTTAAATTTGGCAGTCCCTTAGGGATCATCAAGAAAATGATATGGCCCATTTTTTATTCTAATAAATGCATTTACAAATCAGTAGTAACTTAAATATGGGTGGGGGATTGCAAATTAAAGCAGCTGGGGTAAGAGCAGCTGACACTGCCCAGGTGAGATGGATTTTTTGAGATGCTACCTGTGGATTAGACTCTGTTACAGATGACAAAGTCAGCTCCAGCAGCGCCAGCAGCCAAGGAAATGGACTGGCCTGGTGACTGACTGGAAGGTCCAGGCTTTAACCACTAATTTATATTAAAAAAACTTTTAAACATTCCCAGACCCAAAAAGTAACTTACTAAATCCTACCAAATAGGAATGATCTATTTTCAGATAGTGGGAATATCTGTGACCAAGAAGATCACAAAATAAATCAAATTGTTCCCATCAATTTATAATAAAATGAACATCAGGGTAGGTGTGTGTGCATGTGCTGAGAGTCTTCATTGTTTGTGCTTCAGTGTTACCAGGACTCTGTCTACATGAGAGAAAGAAGTGGGCATGTAGGAATGAGGAGCTCTCATTGGGTTTCTCTTTAATACATTGAGGTATTTTGAAGCATTAGGAATAGAAACTTCCATATTTCTGTAGCTAGATGTTAACATGAGTAGTAAATGATTATATGCTTCTGGAAAGGGGATGTGTACCTTCTCACTCATCTGCACTGAGGCCTACTGCAGGCAGGGCAGGGCTCAGGTCTTAAGGGGCAAGGAGGCCCAGGGTACTATAGGGTGCCGACAGCTTTGTCACCTCTATGCACCACTGCTCTTTTCTAGTGAAGGAGACATCTAGGGAAAGGATTGTTGGGGTAAAAGTGTGCTCCCAGCCATGCACGACCCAACTGTGTTCTGCATGTGGTCAGTTTATGCTGTGCTGCTCCTTCAGCTCCCCAGGCCTCCACCTCTGCTGTTGGATGGTCGGCGGTCCCCACAGCAGGGCCTGGGTGCCTGTAGCTAAGGTGGCAGTGCGTACCAGCCTCTGCGCAGTGTGTTGTTAGTGCCTCATTGTCACTGGGATCTTAGCTTGTGCTCAGGAGTGTGTGCTCGTATGCAAGCATGTGTGTGTGTGAGCAGGGCATGTTCATATTTCACGCATGTGTGCACACACAGGGCTGGGTATGTACACACAAGCTTGTGTGTATGTGTGCAAACACATGGATGTGTACACGTGCAGAGGGCATTAGGGCAGTTGGTTTCTTCAGGGGAAAAGACACGTGATTCTAAAGAGACAATGGGGGTGTGAGTGGATTTTAGGGGTGCCTCATGGGATCAGGGGGCTTGCTGCTTGCTGGGCCCTTTGGAGAATGGCTGGTCCCAGGTACCTGTTCTCCTTCCAAGAACTGAGGGGAGAAAAATCTCTACTCTCATGAAAGATTTGGTAGTTTGGATCCAACTTATATTAAAAATCCTTTTGGTGTCAGGATGCTGTGGTGTTTACAATGTGTTATCCTGATTCACCAGTGCAGCAAAAGGTGATCGTCCTCGAAAAACTCCCTCCTCCCCCTCAGGACATGGCTCCTGGGCCTGGTTTCCAAATGCCTCTGTCTGCCTGGAATCTCCCTGGAGACTCTCAGTGCTCCCCTGTGGCAGCAGGCGACTGGATTAAAAAAAAAAAAAAGATTAAAAAACAAAAAAACAAGATTAATAAAAAATCTTTTCATTGTAAAATGGAACACAGACTGGTTCAGCTCCTATGGAAAACAGTATGGAAGTTTCTCAAAATATTACAAATGTATCTACCACATGACACAGCAATTCCACTCCTAGGTATCTACCTGGAGAATATAAAAGCACTTATTTGAAGGAAAATATGCACTCCCATGTTCATTTATAATAGTCAAACTATGGAAACAACTTAAGAGCTCAAATACAGATGAGTAGGTCAGGAAGATGTGGTATATACACACACTGGAATGCTACTCAGCTGTCAAAAAGATAAACTCCTGCCATTTGTGGCAACATGAATGGAGCTGAGGGGATTATGCTAAGTGAAATAAGTGAGAGGAAGGAAGTCAAATAACAGATAGTGTTACTTAGATATGAACTATAGAGATGCCAAACAAAGGGTCAGATAAAGCCAAAATAACCAGAAACCCTGGAAAGCTGACTATAGAACAGAGGCTACCTGAGGGGTGGAAAGGGGCGGAGGGGTGAGAACAAAGTAGGGAGTAGCACAGTGGACTATGGGGATGGACTGTGGGTGCTTTGGTGGTGGGTGTGGTGTGCTAAAACCTTAAGGGGGAGATCTATACCTCTAAAACAAAAAACAATAAAGTAAGCAAATATTACCTCAATAAAAAAATAGAAGGGAGAAAAGAACATAGATACGGAAAGCCACCAGAGCAAATGTGCAGCTTGGAATTACTAGGCAAACCCCACTGCAGTCAGGAAATGGACCTTTGCCTGCCTCACAGAGGCCCCTTGAGGGCCCATCTGACTGTACCCCCTCCTCGCTGATTTCTAGTTTTGTCACCCTGAAGATATTGTAGCTTACTCTTGCCTACTGATATTTTCTCTCCATCCTTCCATTTCCATAAGCTTTGTCCATTATAGTTGCCTGGCTGTTTGTCCCTCCATCATGCAAACTGGCAGTTGGACCCAGAGATGGGGTCAGGCTCAGGCTGGACCTTTGGCAAAAATGAAGCTAATGATGCTTAATGCATTCCTTGGTCGTTTGGACTTTCATTTTAGTAGTTTTTAAGGAATCCAAGACACTTTGGTATAACTTAATGCAAAAAGATGACCATATATTTTAAACACGACTTGATGGAGTGTCACTTGTGGGTCTACTGTGGCCACCGCCTGTATCAGCACTTTGGGTGTCCAGCACCCAAAGGTCCTGTGCGCCTGTTGGCTGGCAGAATCAGCACTGTCTCAGCCCCAGCCCGCTGCTTATCCTGGTCAAGTTGGGGCTCACATAATGTGTTCTCTGGGGACTCTGAGGGCCAGCTGTTGTTGCATGTACTTGGAACCCTGTCTTTTCACTGTGATGGCTGCACAAAGCCCCCAGTGCACTGACTCGTCCTCCTCTCAGTGTCTCAGTTATAGGTGCTTAGTGAAGCTGGGTGCGTGGGTGACAGGCTTCTGACGGGCTCTTCCTCTGTGTCTGCAGCTTGTGTTTGACTACCAGCCAGGTGACGTCTTTGGCTGTGTGGCTGACATCGGCTGGATCACAGGACACAGCTACGTGGTGTATGGACCCCTCTGCAACGGAGCCACCAGTGTCCTCTTTGAAAGCACCCCAGTTTACCCTGACGCTGGTGAGGATTGATGACCCAAATGGGTGACCAGGAGGGAACTAGAGGAGAGAGGAGAGGTTCACAGGGTCGAGTGGTGCCTGTGCTCTCGTAGCTGCCCCGCCTTGAGCCTTGCATGGTGTGCTGGGGCCGGGTGCCCTGTGTAAAGTGAGATCAGCCTGGCAATGGAAAGGGTCCCATTTGGCACAGAAGCATCTCAGGTATCTCAAGGGCACCTGTGTCGTGTTCTTATCCCTCCAGTGGACTGTCTGCCTTCCTTGAACCCTCCTCTGAGCATTGCCCTCTAGCTCTGTGGCATCTGACCAGATCCAGCCCTTCCTCGAAGCCCAGGCTGCACTAGCCTCCCGAGAGAGGGGACTTTGCCAGGCCTGCCCTATGCCTTAGGGCTGTTCTGTCGCAGCGCCTCGCCTCGTGTTTGTGGCCCGCATCCACCTCCCTGAACTGAAATATCTTGAGGACATGACCATATCTTGCTCACCTTGACATCTCCCTCCCACATAGCAGTGTCCCTAAGCATCTGCTTTCATGTGACTGAATTCTGGGGGCTCTGCTGCAAGGCAGTTATTTTTAATTAATATTTTATTTTATATAATTCTTACATCATTTTTCATTTTTGCACAATGTATGCATTTTCATTTTGGTTATATTCCCCATACAATTGCACCCCCCCTTATTTTGACCCTAGTCCTTCCTCTCCCCTACCCACCCCCACCCCTCCAGTGTGTCTCTGGTCTATAGTTGCTTGTTGATTTTGATTTTTACTTTGTATTAATTAGTCTTTTTCCTGGTCCTTTATTTAGGTTTTCTAAATTCCTGCTATGAGTGAGACCATCCTGTATTTTTCTTTTTCTTTTTGCTGAGCATGATCTCTTCTAGCTCCATCCATGTTGCTGCAAATTGCATGTGTTTATCTTTTTTGAATGCTGAGTAATATTCCATGGTATATATGTACCACATCTTCTTGATCCAGTCATCTATTTTTTGGCATTTGGGTTGCTTCCATAGCTTAGCTATTGTAAATAGCGCTGCTATAAACATAGGGGTGCAGGTGCTCTTTGGAATTGATGTTTCTGTGTCCTTTGGGTAAATACCTAGGAGTGGAATTGCTGGATCATATGGAAGCTCTACGTTTAGTAGGTCAAGAAATCTCCACACAGCTCTCCATAGTGGTTGGACCAGTTTGCACTCACGGCGTTTATGCCCAAGCCCTTCACAGTGCTGAGGGTTAAGTAGATGGAGCTTCCTTGTTACCTCCCTTTGCTGCTCTCTACCTCCACATGGTGCTGGATGGCTCCAGGAAGAGTGTGTAGGGGAACATCTAGGGGTGAGGAGCCAAGTTGCAGGTGTGACCTCCAACACATCCTGTAGCTACTGGAGGTTCAACTGATGCCACCCGGGTTATGTTTTAAATTCATGGCAATATCCTCTTGAATGGATTCCTCGTTGTACCATGTGGGAATATACCGTGTGAATGCAGCTGTCCAGAGCCAGGCAAAGGCTGTTTTCAGCCTGTAGATGCTGGTGTGCCAGGAGATGTTTGGGATGTTTGCTCAGGCCTCTGTCCCCAGAGGGCTTTTCCCATCTCTCAGTGGTGGTATGGGATCCTGTTTTTGTGAGCACATGAGGTATTCACGTGTATCCTGCACATAGTAGCTGTTGACTAATCTCTAATCAATATGATCTCTAATCACCAGTATCTGATGGGCTCTCATACTGACAGTAAATTTGTTTTTTTATAGGCCGTTATTGGGAGACGGTACAGAGGTTAAAGATCAATCAGTTCTACGGTGCCCCGACAGCTGTCCGGCTGCTGCTGAAATATGGTGACTCCTGGGTGACGAAGTACGACCGCTCCTCCCTGCGGACTCTGGGGTCAGGTGAGTCAGCTCTTTTGCAGGAAAGAGTGTTCTGTCATGAGTCAGAGTCTGTATAAGCTTCAAAATGGTTTTAGTCATAAAAGCTATGTGATTGTGTCTGTGGTGGATTTAAGCCTTGCCAGGACATCAGGTAGACTGCAGTTGTCCCCTGGAGCCCCTCCCCAGTGCCCGCAGGCATTAACAGTCTGGGGTTTACATTGCAGATATTTTCTGTGCCTACATTCTGTGCTTCACCTTTATGATAAATCCTTACCAACATGGTAAGCTGTGACCCAAGCCCCTCTTTAGTGGCTGCAAGGGATTGCATTCCACTGTTGCTGGACAGTAATTAATCCCAAGTACAGTATGTTATTTATTTTTTGAAAAGATTTATTTATTTATTTATTTATTTATTTATTTATTTATTTATTTATACAAGCCCTGGGTACAGTCAGAAGCACGGGAGTTGAGAGAATTCACCAGAGCTAGAGCGGGGAGCAGAATAGGCAGAAGGACCGAAGTACACTGCTGAGGGGAGCAGCAGGCAGCAGGAGAGATCTGCGCACCATGCGGGACCCTCCCTGGCAGCCGGGGATCGAACCGGCCTGCAGAGTCTGCGGGCAGCTTTGCAGCACAGTGCTCAACTGCTATGCCACCGGGGAGGCCCTAGCATATTATTTTATGCTGTGCACTGCCTTTACTGTAACTTCAGGCAGAGAATTGCTGGATCAAAGTTTATCTCTGTAATTTCGATGTTGCTAAGTCACATGGAATATTCTGGAAAGGTGATGTGGGGTTAGGTCAGACAATTCTGGGAGTTGGGAGGTACCATGCCGATTCTCCTTTTTCCTGCTGAATTTCATTTCTGTCCCTACGCGTATTGTCATGGTGGTCAATAAGGAAAATGGGTGGGAGGCTCGCCACCCTCCTTGGGTGAATACATGGATCTGCTTGACAGTTTTTCAGAGGAAGCACCTGGAGAGAGTTTTCATGGGGATGTGTCTTTCTGTAAAACAAGTCTGCAGAAAAGGAAGCTCATTACACTAGTTGGTGATGTGGGGGTACTGCGCTGGTCCTGATTTGCTCTGTCCCCCTCACCTGCAGTATCTTGTGCCCTCTTCCAACCTCTCAGGACCCTTACCCTCCTGTAAGCACCTTCTCTGCATCTTCTCTCCTGGGTTTTTCTTGGCTGCTCTGGGCCTCAGGTTGTCAGTTCTTAGACATCTGTCCTTTTACTTTCTCTCTGGATGTGAGTTCCCAGAGGTCACAGCCAACTGGACCTTGACACCATACCCAGGCCCACAGCAATGCATGTAGAGAGTTGGCTGCTACTGAGAAGCTGAGTGATGGCCTGAGAGCAGGATGCTTAGACACTGCCCCGAGGGTTCCACGTGGAGACTATTCTTCTCAAGGGCAGAAGTCACTTGGCACTGCTGGCTCCTGTCCCAGATGGGTCTAGGCCCAGCCTCAGAAGATCTTCACATGTTCAACTCTTACCTGCTTGGGCCAGCTCAGTTACCTTGTGATCAGGATCAGTTTTTGTCTGTATGACCAAGCATTTTGAATGTTCCAGGTGGGGCCAGCAGAAAAAGTGATGTCCCCTTGTAGAGGGTGGTGAGTCTGAGATGCCTCCCTTGGCATATGGGCCTTGCATGGTGAGCCTGTGGAGGGAGTGGACTTGTCTTCCACCACACAGGGCTTCTGTGTTGGTCCCTGCCCTTGGGGTCAGGCAATGCTTGGGGACAGAGAGCAGGCAGAGAGGTGGCCAGGGCCACAGAAACTCACTCATGTCCTCCAGGTATTCCCAGCAGGGACATCTGCTTGGGCCTGGGTAGTTAGGTGAGAACAGGCTAAAGGGAGGTTTGGTTTTTCAGAGCACTCTTGAGATTCAGCTGTAAAGAAGACTCACAAGGATCCAAGTGAACAGTGACATGATCTGAGCACTTCAGGAAAAGGGGAGCTTTGCAGCTGTGTAGGGTGCATATCTGAGATGAAAGCTGCCTCAGCCAGGGGTCCCCTGAGGCCACATGCAGCTTCTGAGAGCCCCTTCCCTGCTTCCTCCTTTGGGTTCAGCACCACCAGCATGCGTGGAAGCTTTGTGCTCTAGGGAGCCTGCAGAGCCTCAGCCAGACTGTCTGTATTTGGCTGGTCTTGTGGGCATAATCCTGCCATGCAACCACATCAACAGCAGAGCCCTGGGGGGATTCCCCAGACCAGGTGATGAATAAGCAGGCAAGTAGAAAGCCACCAGCCACCCTTGGAGCAAGGCACAGCATAGACTAGTGTGCCTCATGCCCTGGTAGGGCCAGAGAGGGGCTCACACCACACCAGAATTTGCTGCATTGACTTCATTCAATCTTACCTGTGTACAAAATCCAGCTCACGCAAGTTTTTTTTTTTTTTTTAAATTTATTTATTTACACAAGAACAGGGGTACAGGCCAGATGCGTGGGAGGGTGAGAGGATTCACCAGAGACAGAGCGGGGAACAGAACAGGCAGACTGACTGAAATACACTGCTGAGGGGAGTAGCTGGAGCAACAGGAGAGGTCTGTCGCACCATGTGGGACCCTCGCTGGCAGGCTGGGGACGGAGCCGGTGTTGTAGAGGCTGCGGACAGCGTCACAGCATGGTGCTCAACCGCCTGCACCACCAGGGGAGGTCCCTCACTCAAGTTTTTTAACCAATGAGTTATATTTTTTAAGTTTTAAAAATCTAATTTCTTAAACTTTTTAAAAATTAATAAATGTATTTATTTTCTTATATCATTCTTCATTTTTGTACAGATTTTTTTGTACAGATTTCTCCCCTCAGGTGTAGTCCCCATAGTTCTTCCATCACTGTAGTTCCTGTGACCATTATCACAGTCCCTTGTGCTCGTCCCTCCCCTGTTTTGACCTCCCTCCTTTACCCTCCCTTACAGTATGCCTCAGATATATGGTCTGCTTGCAAGTTTTTTTTTCGTGACCCATTGTCCAGTTTCCTCTATATTCCACATATAAGTAAAATCATGCTATATTTATCTTTTTTCCTTCTGATTTATTTTGCTTAGCATAATCCTTTCCAGCTCCATCTATGTTGCCACAAGTGGCATAAGCTTATCTTTTTTGATCACCTAGTAATATTCCATTGTGTCTATGTACCAAATCTTCTTAATCTATTCATCTGTTTTGGGATATTTGAGTTGTTTTCCATATCTTAGCGATTGTACGTAGTGCTGCAGTAAACATAAGAGTGCAGGTTTCCTTTCAAATTAGTATTTTTGTGTCTTTGGGGGAAGATTCCTAGGAGTGGAATCACTGGATCATATGATAGATCCATTTTCAGTACTTTTGGGAATACACAGCTTTCCAAAGTGGCTGGACCAGTTTACATTCTCACCAGCAGTGTGAGAGGTTCCTTTTTCTCTACTTCCTCTCCAGTATTTGTTGTTTCTAGTTTTGTTTTTGTTTTTGTTTTTAATATGGGCCATTCTTATAGGTGTGAGGTGATAGCTTATTGTGGTTTTTTTGATTTACATTTCCCTGATAACTGATGTTGATCATTACTTTCTGGCCGTTTGCCTTTCTTCTTTGGAGAAGTGTCTTTTTAATTCTTCTGCCCATTTTTTGACTGGGTTGTTTGCTTTGTTTTAGTTGAGTTGTATAAGCTCTTTGTAGATCTTTGATATTAATCCCTTATCAAAGGTATGGTCTGCGGTTATTTACTCTCATTCAGTGGGATATCTCTTCATTTTGGTTACTGTCTCTTTTGCTGTACAGAAGCTCTTTAGTTTGATATAGTCCCAGCTGTTTATCTTTGTCTTTGCTATCACTGCTTTGGGTGATGAATCTTTAAAGATGTTGCTGAGGTGTCATGGAGTGTTTTACCATGTTTTCTTTTATATATTTTAATGTTTCTGGTGTTATAGCAAAGTCTTTTCTCCATTTCAAGTTGATTTTTATGTATAGTGTGAGTAATTTCTTAAACTTTGGAACTTTCAGTTTCATAAGGAACACACATATATTCTTTTGTGAAAAGGTAAAATGGGAAACAGCAGTGAAAGCTACATGCTCTGTCCCTGCCACGCCTCGTGCCCCATTGCGTGTGCAGGTTTGGGTACCTTCTTTGCAGTTATATTCCTTGTTTCTGAGGTTCTTTCTTTAATGTGAGTGAGTTCCTGCTGTGCTGTTATCCTGGAGTGTTTGTGTTGACTCAACAACATATAGAGTTTTTCAGGTGACTTTGCCCCATTATTTGAAAACTTATGTGTACCCCCCTGTGGGAATTCTGCTGCCCCACATGGTCATGTCTCTGTGATTAGTTAGATATTTGGGTTACGGGTACTTTCTCAGTGCATCCACCAGTGCTGCAGTAGCATTTTCTTGCATCCTTTGTGCATACATGAGTACAGGGGTGACACATACCTGCCCAGCCACCGAAGTGCCCAGCACGGACAGTCAGCTTGAACTTGGGAGGTCCCTCCAAGACAGGTGTCGTTAGTTGCTTCATTGTGGATGGTCTTGAGCAAAAGGCACCCAGTGTGAGTATTTTTTTTTTAAAGATTTACCCCATGATACAAGAACTGGGGTACAGGCCAGAGGTGTGGGAGAGTGAGAGAATTCATCAGAGACAGAGCGGGGAGCAGAATAGGCAGACAGACTGAAAACACTGCTGAGGGGAGCAGCAGGTGAGACAGAAGAGGTCTGCCGCACCATGTGGGTATCTCCCTGGCTGGCCAGGAATCGAACCTGTGCTGCAGAGGCTGCGGGCAGCCTCACAGCACTGCACTCAACCGGCTGTGCCACCCGGGAGGCCCCCAGTGTGAATATTTTATCAAGAGTATGTCCAGCCTAGTGTGTTCTGGTGGAGGTCCAGCCTTGTATGGCTGTTTCATTAGGGTGTTTCTAAATGTGTTTAGGCTGCTATCACACAACCACAGATTGGGTGACTTACAAACAACAGAAATTTATTTCTCACAATTATGAAGGCTGGAACTCCAAGATCTGAGTGTCAATCTGGTTGCTTTCTGGTGCGGGCCCTCTTCCTGGTTCACAGCCCTCTCCCTTTGTTCTCACATGGTGGAAGGGAAGAGGAAGACGTCTGGCATCTCTTTTATAAGAACATTAAACTCATTCATGAAGACCGTGTCTTCCCAAAAGCTCACTTCCTAATACTATCATCTTTGGGTGTTAGAATTTTAACACACGAATTCTAGGGGGACACAAATATTCAGGACATAGCTGAGAACTGTAGAGTCATAGGACATAAACACTTTTCCCCTTTCCACTGAGGTATATATACAATATCTGAAATGTGCAAGTATTGATGTACATACAGAGATATGTACACACACACACACTCACAGCCACTACCCAGATCAAGCCAGAGAAATTTCCAGTGTCTAGAGGCTCTCTTCTCCCCTTCCCACTAATTCCAATCACACCAATCACTGACCACTCTCAGCATGGACTGATTTGCTTGTCCTTGAACTATATACACTTAGGCTTATATAGCATGAGCCTGCTGCCTTGGTGGGGCCCTAACTCTGAGGTCCATCCCTGTTGTGAGTAGCAGTGGTTTGCTCTCCTTCATGCTGTCAGGATTTATCTGCATGAGTAAGTCACAGTTTATTCATCCATCTTACTTTTTGATGGCCTGTTTTAATTTTGGACTGCTGTGAACATCTTTATATGTGTCCTCTTTTTCCATGGATACATGCATTCAATCCTGTGGGGTATGTGCCAGGAGTGGTAAAATAAACATATTTAGCCTTACTAGAGTCTACCCCAAAGAGTTGCCTAAAGCAGTTCTATTAGCCCATTGTGTATCACACTTTGCACCAAATTGTATTCTTACAGTGTGTGTGACATTGTTTCCCCACATTCTTGTCAACTTTTTGATCTTTGACTCTCTGATGGTGAAAATATCTCATTGTAATTTGTACAACTTGGATGGTCACAAATATGATAGATCTCACAGCTTTCTCAAGTCTCCTGTTCTGTCCTTAGGGAAAGTTATAGAGCTATTCTCTTTAAAACTCTTTTCCTTTTGGGTTCAAGTTCATTGAAGACTGTTAATATCCTTCTGTGTGTGTGGTTTCAGTGGGAGAACCAATCAACCAAGAGGCCTGGGATTGGCTCCATAAGGTGGTGGGGGACAGCAGATGTACCCTCGTGGACACCTGGTGGCAGACAGGTGAGCATATGCCCAAGGAGGAGGGCTGGCTCTATGGGGCTCACTGATGACACCTGTGTTCCATGTTAGTGAAATGAGAGCACAAGCTAATTACCCAGCGTGGGGAGTCCCTTGTGACAGTATGCTACCTGAACTGGGCCCGAAACCACTAAAGCCTCGGCCCCTCAACATGCATGGAATTGAAAACCTGGTGTCTGGAGTGAGAAAGATCACAGGTGAAGCCTGGCTGCATTGTCCAGCTGTAGACATGGGATGTGTCCTGGCTTCTCTAAACTTTGATTTCCTCATATGTATATGGGAGTTGGGGGTGCTGCCTTCATGCTCCGGGTGAGGATGGAAGAAGATGATAAAACTAGTGCTCAACTTATGTGCATTTTCTCCTTAGGGCCCACTTTCTGAACTCAAGTACTTCTGATGGGATGTACCCTATGGTTTAAAGGCCCATAAGTCTAAATTTAAATTTTGATGGGAAAGGAACTTTGTTTTGGCTTATTCCCTTTTTTCTTGGACATTTGATTTATTAGTATGTCTGGGGCAAGAGCCCACCTCGATATGAGAAATATAGCCCTCTGAGCCCTTGTCCTTCAAGATGCTGGGAAGTGAGACATTGTGAATAGCTCAATTCCTGTGCTACCCACCCCCTACTCGGGTAGAGTGCTACATGTCAGGCACCAACTGGATAAATGTCTCACTAGACTCTAGCTGGTATTTCTTCCTCATTTTCTGTATAGAAACGGGTGGCATTTGCATTGCACCTCGACCCTCGGAAGAAGGGGCAGAAATCATCCCCGGCATGGCCATGAGGCCCTTTTTTGGCATCGTCCCAGTTCTCATGGATGAGAAGGTATGTAAAGGCCTCACAGATAGATGATAAAGTCACTTCATGGGGGTGAGCCCAGGGCCTCCTCAGAATCCCTATGAGGCCAGTTCCTTGCAGAGGGAAAAAGATCTGAACAGTTCCTTTGGGGACAAGCTTGTCATTTTCCTGCCTCAGGCCAGAACAATACTGACTGTGAGCTCTTTGCTTCTGAGCTGGATCTGCCTGTCCTCTCACACCTATGTCCTGTGTCATTAGGGGAACATCAAGAAGGGCGGGGATGTCTCTGGGGCTCTGTGTCTCTCCCATGCCTGGCCAGGAATGGCCAGGACCATCTACGGAGACCACCAGCGGTTCATGGACGCCTACCTAAGGGCTTATCCAGGTGAGCAGCCCACGCAGATTGGTCATTCCTTCCTCTTCTTCTCCCATCCCTATCCCCACTGCTGGAAGCATATTTCAGGAAACACTCACAAACACCCTTAACTAAGTTTCCTGGAATATAAGGCAGGTGTTTGAGCTCTGCCACTTCCTGTTTGCCTGCCTGACTTTCCTTGTCTCCACAATGAAAAGAAGCCACCTTAGAAAATGATCAAGGTGGCTGTAAGTTTTCTTCTGGTTTACTCTCCCCTTCCCCCAGTTTGCTTTAAGTCACTTGGTTGGCTAGCTATACAGTGTGTCTGTTGGAACCAATCATCCTCAATATCAAGTTTGTGAGGGAAACTCACTGTTCTGGGAGGCTCAAGTGAATTATCTGCTGCTCCAGATGTTTGCAGCTGGACATCAGGGACAGTCTGCTGTCTTTGAGCATCTGCATTTTAGTAGGACGCAGCTATGGGGCATCATTTAGAAGCCCTGGGGGTGGGAGGGGGGTGCAGGAGGACCAGCAGGTGGGGAGTCAGGATGCCCAGCTTCAGAGCTGCTTCTGGAGAGCAAAGTTGGAAGGCAAGTCCCATTGTCCATCCTGGAAGCCCGGTGGGCCTGGCTCTGTGCTGGTGCTTAGCCCCCTTGCTGTGATGTAGGCTACTACTTCACTGGAGATGGGGCCTACCGCACCAAGGGCGGCTATTACCAGATCACAGGACGCATGGACGATGTCATCAACATCAGCGGTCACCGACTGGGGACTGCAGAGATCGAGGATGCAATGGTGAGCATGGCTCGGGCCTTCCTTGCTCCGGTATCTCGGTGAGGTTGCTGTTGGCCTCAGGTTGGGTGGTGATCTGTGCTCTGGGTCAGAATCTCACCTCCTGCCTATTCTGCCTTGTTGTTATGTTATGCGCAGGCTAACCACCCAGCAGTGCCCGAGACCGCTGTCATCGGCTACCCCCATGACATCAAAGGAGAAGGTGAGAATCCTAGAAGGAACTCCTCTCCATTCCTGATCTCTGTGCAAGGAATAGAATCCAGAGGGAAGTGGCAAGAGTTTTTTTGGGTCAAACTATTGGTTTTCATTTCTCTTACATGGAGTTTTGGGGTAAGGAGACCGAACAGCATGTTAGACTAGGGCCATACTTTGGAAATGCCCTAGCTCTACTGTCGTTTGAAGACACTATCCCTGAGCAGCTGCACCCCGTTTGGCCCTCAACTGAGTTTGGGAGTTTCCCGCTTCGATGCACGGTGGTGCCTGCTACTCAGTGTGTCTGCGAGTGTGGGTCATAGTGCCCAGGGCCAGCTCAACAGCTGCTACGCCGGCAGATCTGAGTGCATCCTGGAGTGAGCTCTTCTGCTGCTCTATGACTTTTTAGGGGAGGAATTTGATCTGTGGTTCCCATTGCATATCTGTGTGCAGGGGCAACGAATCATCAGAATGGGCTTTACTGAGGACACAGTTGTTCCAAAGTCCCCTGTTTTCTAAATGGATCAGTCTGGGAAGGGGCAGGAGTGCTTGAGTGTTGTAATGCTAGGTCCATAGTGGCCACATGGCCTGGCTGGGTGTAACCTGGATACTCATGGAGCCTATGTTGCTCCGAGTGGCCAGTGGTCTGGGGTTGGGCACTCTCCCTCTAGCTTTCAGGAATATCCAGGGTCCTCACATGTCTCACGTGTCATCTGCCTTCCTGCCACATTTGTATGTCATTGTTTTCATTATTTACTTTACAATTGACCCATTGTAAAGTTAAAATTTATTTAGGTGCTTATTAAAAAAAATTGTAGGTTGTCCTGGAGGCTGTCAGCCCTTTGTTACAGGGAGACTGTGGAGGGAGGTGCATCTGGGAATGGGCCTCACATGTGACCATCAGGGTTTAAGGCTCTGCACTTCCATCTGCTGTTCCTATCACCTCTTCCCCACATCCTAAGCAGTTCTGGTATTGCCTGGTCTTTTAATGTCTTCCAGGCTCATGGGGATAATTTTTACACTGTGGATATAATGAGATATGCATTTCCTGATTTCTAACACATTTGAACATAGATGGATTATGATGGGTCATCATACTGAATAACCCAGTAAGGGTTCTTAGTAAGGTCTAAAGACACCTGTGCAAACTGTGGTGTTTTTATTTGTTCTGACTCCCCCTGTTTGCATTTGGTCTGACCTATCGCCCTCTTTGGGCTGTTTCAGCCTGGCTTGTTGATTTTGATTTTTTCTTTATTATAGTTATTCTTTTTCATGGTCCCTACAAAAATTTAAAGGCTGTGAAATTATATAAAACAGACCTGTACCTTTCCTCCCTACCTTCCCTCATCAGCCCCTCAGTGAGTGTGATGGCCAGGAGCCTGCCCTGGCTCCAAGTCCCGCTCTACCACTTGCTAACTGTGGTCATAGGTAGGTCACTCAGCCACTCTGTGTGGCTGGCTCCTCCTGGCTGGTAGGGGGCCTCCTCCCTTGAGGGTTTCCTGATCCATTCCTATAATCAACTCCAGCACTCCAGGCCGCTGCCAGGCCAGCTCCTTACAGATACAAACACAGTGATTAACAGGGGAGGGCATTGATTAGATACCAGAGGAAATACTTCAGGGCAGCATGTCTAGTACAGTCCCACCTGGTTCTGAAAGATGGTTGTATATGCCCAGAAATTAACTTTAAAATTTGGGTCAGCAGCTGGCAACCTGCTTGGTATGGGCTCCTTTTAGGGGACATCATCTCCCAACCCCAACATACAACTGTGAGGCAGGTACTTTATAAAGCTCCTCGTTCCACAAGGAGAAAACTGCAGCACAGAGTGGCTGAGTGACCTACCTATGACCACAGTTAGCAAGTGGTAGAATGGGACTTGGAGCTAGGGCAGGCTCTTGACCATCACACTCACTGAGGGGCTGATGAGGAAAGGTAGCGAGGAAAGGTACAGGTCTGTTTTATATAATTTCACAGCCTTTAAATTTTTGTAGGGACCATGAAAAAGAATAACTATAATAAAGAAAAAATCAAAATCAACAAGCAACAATAAACTAGAGACACACTACGGGGTGGGGGTGGGGGGAGAGGAGGGATTGGGTCAAAATAGGGGGGTGCAATTGTATGGGGAATAGAACCAAGATGAAAATGCATACATTGTGCAAAAATGAAAACAATGGAAGAAATATATAAAATAAAATATAAAAACAAACAAACAGAAATAAAAAAATTAAAAAAAAATTTTGGTAGTCAGTATGTGTTACTTTGGTGATTCAGAAATTTTAATTAATGTTGATTAAACCCATAACAGACTTCTCTCTCAGTGGACCTTCCAAGCCAGCTCAGATATTGGCCTGACTCTCTTCTCTGAAACTCTGTGGTAAAGGCCAGGACTGCCTGGCATATCACCTGGATGAAAAAAATTCAGTTCTTTCCCACAAAGATCCCAGACAGGGCTGCCCAGGAGAATCTCCTGCCATGGTGGGGCTGGAGCTCATCTGTGCTGTTCACTGTGGCAGTTGCTGGTTACATGTGGCTCCTGTGACTGAGGACCCACAGACTTAATTCAATTTAAGTTGAAATAGCCACCGTGCTAGTGCCTGCCACCTTGGATATGCACCCATGAGGTTAGGCCACATGTCACACTTCTAGGCATAGTCTCATGGGCGTGGCTAATAAGTCTACCAATCCTCAGCCACATATGCCCACCCAAAGGATGTTCCTTTCACTTTGAATGAAAACAGTAATATAGCTTTAGGACTGCAAGTAAAGAAAGTGGCTGCTTCAAGGTCACCAACATGATTTAAAAATCCTTTAGATTTATGGTGGTTTGTGTACCCCTTGGGAGATGGCTGTGGTCCAACTAAACCTTTGCTTTCCTTCCAGCTGCCTTTGCCTTCATTGTGCTGAAAGACGATGCAGCTGATGCAGACATGGTGATAAATGAGCTCAGATCTACAGTCGCTGCCAAGATTGCCAAGTATGCTGTGCCTGACCAGATTCTGGTGAGTGGGCATCCCCTTCTGTGACCCTGCTTCTCTCTCCACATCCCACAATTGACACATAGCAAGGATCCCTTCCATCACAGCAAAATGTATTCTGTGGCTCTGGGTGGAGGGTGAGGATGGTGGGTTGCTACATTGTGAGAGGGAGAGGACAGGTGGCAAAGAAACCTAGCAGCAAAAGTGTGCCCAACTCGGGATGGGCTGGTGCTGGGCCAGAGGAGGTGCTCTTCAAAGTGTCATCTGAAGGCTGGTTACAGGTACAGAAAGAAAATCAGAAGTTATCAGTAGGAAAATATGTGGAAACTACAGATTTCAGAGGGCCATTTCTTAGGGCCAGAGAGGGAGAGATGGCCAGGCCTCTATTTGAAGGATTCTGTGTTGGAGTCAGTTAGGGGAAGAGCTGGGCTCCACATCAGCCCTGTTGGTTTTTCACTCTTTCCTTGGTAACATTTCTCCTGCAGCATTCTTTGGCTGGCCTGGGTCTTCTGAGTGGCCCAGTGACACTTGGGGGGGACAAATTCAATCATCAGGTTGGTGGTGAGAGTCAGTCCCCTTAGGTGAACCTAGGTCTTTTAAAGCCAGGTTACTATGAAAACCCAGGACACAACTGTTAATGAATGTATTACTGTTGGCATTGAATGGACTATGGTGGTTTGAAAATGTTAAATGTTAACTTTTCAGACACTAATAAGTAAGAGCATTTTCTCTTAAGTAGCTCTTGGCTCTTACGTAAGACTCACCAAATACTCCCCAGACAAGGGCATGGAAAAGAAATGCCAAGGCACGTGTTTAGCTCTGTTGCTACCTGCAGCACTCACAAGCATCGGACCAGAGAAACAGGTCTCTGTAGTAAGGTAAAACTTGAGGAGCTGGGTGCAGACCCTCCTGGTGAAGGACTTCGGCATGACTAAAGGTTGAGTTGATTACAGCTTTAGGTCTAGATTACAGGAGGATAAAACCATACCACAGCCACACCATTCTGAGGGGCAGGGCCTTACACAGCAGCCAAGGTTGTCCCGAGTAAAAGGGTGGTCCCCTGAGTAGAGCCCTTCTCATCTCCATACAGTTGGATACTGGTTGGGAGTCTGGCAACCACCTCAAACGCTAAAGCTACACCCCTTCCTTGCTAGGTAGTGAAACGTCTTCCAAAAACTCGGTCGGGAAAAGTCATGCGGAGACTCCTGAGGAAGATAATCACCGATGGAGCTCAGGATATGGGGGATACCACCACCCTGGAGGACCCCAGCGTCATCACAGAAATCCTGAGCACCTACCAGAAGTACAAAGACAAGCGGGCTGCTGCTCAGTGAGGCCATGCCTTGTCCTGGCTCTGCGCCTCAACCTCAAACTTGTCCTAGAACGTAGCTCTCAGGTTGGCTGCCCCCTCCAGCACATCCACACTGCCCCCATGCAAAGTCCATGCTGGAATCCCTTCCTCCTTGCTGTTGGAGAACCCACAAGGAGGAACTGTCAGCATTTGTTCCATTTGCCCTGAATTTGGTTTCCTGGAATGAAGAGTTATTGTCATTTCTGCTTCTGTGTCCTCTCTAGACAGCCCAGCAAGGTGAAAAACCCAGTTAGGTATGCCTGCTCAGATGACTGACCCCTAAGTGTCTAGCCACACAACCCTCCCAAGGGTGCAATCATGTCCCCCCTAGGTATTTCTAGATACAAAAGGCAGAGATTTTATTTTTATACTTTTATATTTTGGAAGAATTGTGTGTAAGCAAACATGTGTAATGTATGGATTTACTTGTACATGCTTGTAACATTTAGTGGTATGAAATCTTTTTTTTTTGCCTCCACTCCTGGGGAATCGTGGGATGACCTGAGGGTGTGCTTTTAATTACCATTTGGCAACATCTGCAAGTCTGAATTGGGAACGTTTGTACCTCTGTCTAAACACAGCTATCTCGAGAACTTTCAAGCTTGCAGCATCTTCTCTTGGTGTGTATTTATACTTCCCCTGGTTTGTGTACAGTGCAACTAACTCTTAAAAGTGGTAGTGTGAACGTGCCCGCCTTCTAGTTCTAAAGGCACTCCAGTCATGTGTTCTGTCTCTCCTAGTTGCAATCTGGGAAGACACCCCTCCCCACCTTGGATTCCTCTTGATGGGTGATCAGTATGTTCTAGTATGTGGGGTTGTCCAGGGAAGCCAGCGGAAGTTCAGGTGACATGTTAGAGCATGATTTGGCTAGAAGTGGGTCCTTGCACTGTCCTTTTGTCCTTCCTCCTGTGGTTGGAGTGGGGACATGAGAACCGTGGCGGGCCAGTGATAAGACTTGGTGTCTCTCTCTCTATTTTTTAATGTGCCTTAAGTCCTCTGAATGTTAGCAAGATGATGTAAAGCAGTTGGTCACAAAATGCTCTTTCATAAGTGAAGTATGCAGGGGCTGATGGTGTGGGGTGCGGGTGAAGTAGCCTGCTGGACTGGGCTTTGCAGATGGAGAAAGGTTGTTCCTATCTTTGTCCCATGGGATATAGCACCCTGAAGCTGAACATGTACTGTGGGCCCTGGCTGTGCTGGCCTCTTCATGATTAGGTAGATACACCTAGGGCCCCCAATGGGGTGGTGTTGTCTGTAGCATAGATACAAGGTGATGGTCTGCTGTTACAGCTCTTGGCAACAGAGAACCATGTGCCCGGACTTGTTGCATTTGTGTTGGGTTTGGCAGACTACAGCTATGGAACTATTTATAAAATGGCTTAGATATCAATTCAGACAGTAACCAGGGTCTGAGTGTTCAGTAGGGCAGTTGAAATAAAATTTTATTTTGTTCATTCTCTTCTTTTTGTAGTGATGTTTTTAATCAAATTATGCTTATTCTTTGTTGCTGAATTCACTCAAAAGAAAACACTTTAATAATTCTATCATTTTATAGATGCTCAACAAGGAGTCACCTATCTCAGACTGTACTTGGTAAATTTACCTGTGTCTAGATTACTGTGCAGTCCACTATATCAGCCACGTATTCGTGTACACACACACACACACACACACACAGACAGACAGACACATGCAACCAAAATAGAATAAACTATTCCATTCATTGGTAGCAGTGGCAATAGTTCATATAATCAGTAGCCATACCCTGCCAGTAGCTGCCAGATTGGACAACATGGAGAAAACATTTCCATCATCACATAGAGTTCTGGCGGTGAGTGTCAGCCTAAAACTTGATGAGGGTGAGGAAGCACAAAAAGTCTCTAGGCAACCAGAATCAGTATCACAGACTACTTACCTGAGAAGCACCAGCTTGCCTGGGAGAGACATCCCATAATCCAGATCATCGTTACTCCAGATGTGGAGGATGAGATTTCTGGTCTCCTTTACTGAATGGTGAAGCAGATTTCTTCCTCCCTCCCTCTCTCCCTCACTCCCTCCCTCTGTCCCTCCCTCCCTTTCCTTCCTTCTTCTTTTATTTTTTATTATTTTAAAAAATATTTATATCTTTTTACATCGTTGTTCATTTTTGTACAATGTTTGATTTCTCCTCTCTGGTGTTGTCCCCATAAAATTCCCACCACCAAGACACCTGTGAACCATCACCAAAGACTCTTGTGCTCTTTCCTCCCTTTTCACTTGGGTTTCCTTTTTAGGGTGCACCCATTCTCCATGAATCCCTTCCCCTTTCTCTCACTTGGTGATTGGGTCATTCACCTATGAGCTACATATAGCTACACTATAGCTTTCCTTCTATCTGTATGCCTTTCCCATATAGAACTTTCCAGATGCCGTGTGAATTCACTTCTTGTTTTGTCTTTCCCAGCCTAACTCTGCTTTGGTGAAGCAGATTTTAAGAGTAGAACATATTGAACTGGGGTGGTGAGGAGTGAGAAATGAAGGCCCCAAAACCTATGCAGCCTGGACTGACTGCTGCCTCCAGACTAGGTTCCAGGATGGCTCTTCCTAGGAACAGTGTCTGCTCCAGTGCCCCAGGGATGAGGGGAAGGAGGCTGGGAGGGTTCCCAGGTGCCCAGCCAAGGTAGGTTCTGTATGCATGGGTAGACAACTCACTGGGGAAAGACAAGTTTTTGAACCTCTTGATGCCAAGTGAAGTCACAGCAAGATTGCTGCTACTAGAATAGTCTAGCCACACATTCCTCCCAGGGTTATTATGAAAGGAACACACATATACCTTCAACAAGTCAGGTTATCTGTCCACCCTCTTTGGTAACACCACCCTGGGACCACTTTGTCAGCGACTCACCCTGGCCACCAAGTTTGTGATGGGCATTCCCAGCATCACAGTCCTGGTCTAAGTGAACAGTAAAGGTCTGACCATGTGACACTGTCAGAGTCATGGGGAAACAGCACAAAGTTACCCCTGGGGAGGGGGTTATTGCTTGGAGGTCAAATGGAAAAGGAGCAAACCTGGGGCGATCCCAGATGACCTTGTTGGTGGGCCCTCACCTGTGCTTAAGAATGTAGCAAATGAATGCTCTGATTCTCTGCTGAATCTGCCAATGATCCCAAGTGTCAGGAACAAAAGCTGCAGCTGCCTGCTACTGCCACCACCAGTGCTCATCAGCTGCCACCTGGGCCCTGAGGGGAGTCTGCCCCGTCACCACCCATGGTCACCACCCACAAGCATCCAAGAGCCATGTTGGCCAGTAGCCTTTTGGAGCAGAGACCAAAAGGTCAAGGAAACAAAGTACAAAATGCATCTATACATCAAAAGGATGGATTAAGTGATGATTTTGAACCATCCTTGAGGCCTAATAACGTACACACTGCCATGTTAGATTCCTATTTACACAGTCACTACAGTCCCTCCACTGGTTTCTCCTATTCTTTGGGTGAAGCTGGGGGTGACAGAGCCATACCCTAACTTCCTGTGGATAGCTGAGCAATGGAGAACATCACTCTCTACCAGACGCAGGAGTCCTAGGTAGTCCTCCATATCCTGGTCAGCGTGGTTTTAATTTCTTTCCCAGAGGGCTTGACTTCTCAGCTTGGGAAAATAACAGTTCTCGGGGACAGTCTACTCTGAGCTCTAGATATAGTGGCAGTTATGCTTATGCACCTAGTCCCTTAGGTGGGCCATGATTGATGGACAATCAGCTTTTTCCAGGGAGAATCTCAATAAGGCTCCTGGCATGAATACTGTAGACCAAGGGATGGCAGCATTGAAGGTGAGCAGCACTGAAGTTGCAAGCAATGTTCCAACAGTAGGCTCTGCTCTTGGTAGTGCATCATTACTAGTAACATCATCACTTCCAGCAGTTTGCCTCCAGCTACCATTTCTCCTCCAAAACCAGTATCTTGGGCTGATATTGCTAGCAAGCCTGCAAAAAAGGCTTTCCTAAGTTGAAGACCAAATATGGCATTGCAAGTTTTCCCCCCTCCCAACCACCCCAATAAAGCATAATGTAGATGTTGGAACTTGGGATAATAAGGATTCTATGGCAAAAGCACCCTCACAGGCTTTGGCTCAGAATATAGGTCAGCAGCCAATCCAGGGGTCTCCCTAGCCTGTAGGTGATCATACTGTCAATCTCCCACTAGTGGCTCAGACATCAGCAGGGCAAAAGCACAACCATTGCCCCCACCCCCACCACAGCCTACCCAGCTGTCAGTCCAGCAACAGACTGCTCAAGCAACCTGCTGGGTAGTACCTTGGAACTGTGGCAGTGTGCTCTGTCATAATGGGGTGGATGGTAATGGAGTAGGACAGTCACAGTCTAGATTTGGATTTACACCTTCAGAACCTCACCCAATGTTGGAGGAGTTGCAGTCCATTAATAACTATAACCCCAAGGATTTTGACTGGCATTTGAAACATGGCCAGGTTTTCATCAGTCAGCGCTACTCTGAGGATGATATTCACCAATCCATTAAATATAATATCGGGTGCAGCACAGAGCATGATCACAAGAAACCGGATGCTGCATATTGCTCCATGAACGGGGAAGGCCTTGTTTACTTACTTTTCAGTGTCAATGCCAGTGGACACTTCAGGGGCGTTGCAGAAATGAAATCTGCTGTGGACTATAACACATGTGCAGGTGTGTGGTCCCCGGACAAATGGAAGTGTTGTTTTGATGTCAGGTGGATTTTTGTGAAGAATGTTCCCAATAGGCAGCTGCAACACATTTACCTAGAGAACAAGAATAAACCAGTGACCAACTCCAGGGACACTCAGCAAGTGCCGCAGGAAAAGGCTAAGCAGGTGTTGAAAATCACGCCAGATACAAACACACCACTTTCATTTTTGATGGCTTCTCACACTATGAGATAGGCCAAGAGGAAGAAGAAAGTATTTAAAAGGAATGTCAAGTTCATGGGAAATAAATGGCACAGACTGCAGCAACAGTTAGCATCTGCATGTCCTAAGAGGAAAAAAATGATCTTCAAGAGAATCAGGACTTTTTTCTTAATTTCACTGACTTCAGGCCTGCAGGTTGGAATTTCACAAAAGACATAGGACTTAATTGCAAAATGAAAAAAAAAAATAGGAAAAAAAAAACTAAACAAACAAAAATCCTCTAGGTAGTGTAGGTGAAAAATGTCTCTAAATTGGTTTTGGTTGTGATTTCAGAGCATAATGCTTTGTTATTTTTGGTCTTTTTATTATATTTTTTGGATTTTAAAGTCTGTAAGTACATATAGTTTTCCCTAATTTTTAAACCCTTTCCTTCCTCTCATTTTGGCATTCATACTTGGAGAACACTTGAATTTTGAAGGCTTTGGGCCTCCACCCCCAAATACTGGGAATTTTTTTTTTTTTTTTCTGAAAGAACATTTTTATGAAGAAGACATTTCTAGGGAGAATTTAACAGTGTTTCCCAAGTGTGTGTCTTTAAGGGTGGTTCATTTTTTCTGATCCTTTGTTACTCAAAGTAAAGTTCTAGGAGTCCTAAGAGATATTCTGTTCTTGTACATTATACTGATTGTCAGGATTAATTTGATTTCAGAGCTATGAATAGGGGCAATAGCTTGTTCGGGCAATGCATACAAAAATGCATTTTGGGAGAGAAAAATATTGTAAAACATGTTAGTGAGTGTTTCTTCAGTTTCTTGTTCAGCCAATGAGAAAAGGACATTCCCTTTCTTTTTACCATTAACCACTTCTAAATAAACATGAGATCCTGTTGAGCATAAAAGTGAAAGAATGTAGCAAATGATCCAAATGTAGAAATGTGGGGAGAAACAATAACAACAGGATTTATTTACACAGGTTTTTCTGTCAAAAGTCCTAGCTCCACCCCTATTTCCCTGCAACCCCTACTCAGGGGGTAGAGTCTGAAAGCCTCCACCTTCTGCCATCAAGTGCCCCCACACTGACCAGGAGGTTGCTGCTCCACTGTTCTTACATCAACAATGGATAAGACAGGAAGCAGAGATGAGTGGGGAGGCCTTCTGGCTGGCACAGGGCAGTGTTAGCTGAGGTTGGAGCACCAGGGGAGACACATGGAGGCTGGGGTAGGTCCACCAGGCCTACCCTGCCCCTGGACTTCACTAGCAGCTTTGGATTTTCTGTCATAACTGAAATGTTCTCACAAAGACCCAAGTCAATGCTTGATGAGCAGAGATGATCAGGTAGCTACTATGAGTGCAGAGGTGAGACATCTAGTGTTATGGTGTCACACAGAGAAGGGGTGACACTGGGGTTCAGAGATGGCTGGTTTGAACACTTCCTATGTCACCCAGTCAGTGTATATATTACATTTGCAATAATCATAAGTATAAGGCAGATGATACTCAGATTCAGAAGGATGCAGTATTCTTTTAAGAATTATAGGAGGGCCTCCCCTGATGGTGCAGTGGTTGAGCACT